AATGTAATTATCGTTTGATAAATTCTAAATACTGCGGCAAAAGAACAGAATTGAACAGTATTACTGATGCGAATTAAAGCTTGAAGAATATTTACATATAATTATCTTATATGAAAATGTATTTATGTGTTACTAAATAGAGAACAACAGAATTATGTGTGGGTATGGCTATAGACCTGTCCTAGCTCAATTGAAATCAAGATATAATCATGTGCTAAACAGTTACTTATCACGCATATATATTTCACTTCCTAATATGTACCCATACTTCAGGTCTACTCCTTGAAATTATATGAATGAGCTGTTTTTCTGCCACACCGCACACATAAACCTTAGTCCAATCGATGTTTGGACCAATTACATAGAAGTGGATAGGTTTCTTTGTCTTAATCCTGGTTAAATTCAATTTACACCCTATTCATCCTCAATCAACCACTATTTGTATTCCCATAAAAATTTCCTACCCTCTCACACTACCATTATCTTTGCATCTTTGAATACTTTAATATTCACAAAATTTATAGAAAATTGGGTTTTATTTTAATTTAAGTAAGCTTCAGAGTGTAAGCACTTAAATAGAAGAGAAGACAAATTAATATAATACAATTGTGTACTTCAGTCATTATTGAAGTTCGTATCCATTTAAAGCCTTAATGCACCCATCAGTATAATACCGACAAGTTCGGGAGCTCATCAAAAACTATGATTGCCATTTTAAGTTTATTGTTGGGTTAGAGTTTGATTTGACACGAAGAACTACAACTTACACGTATAGCAAGAACTGTCCTACCTTAACAGCTACTTTGCACGCATATGTACTCAGTAATAATTGAAGTCAGATTCCGCTTAAAACCTTATTGCACCCATCAGTGTGTTCCGATAAGTGTGTAAGCTAATCAGAAACTATGATCGCCATTTTAAGTTTATTGTTAGGTTAGAGTTTGGTTTCCCAATTCTCTGAGGGGGTAAAATAGTAAAATATATCAACAGGGGGCATGAACAGCAGTTATTTTTAAGCGCGTAGAAAAAGAAACTGAACTATCAGTAGATAACTAAGATTTTATAAGAATAATTTCTCACTAGAAATTAATTTAGAAATAAGTAAAATACTTCGAGTGAAAACCATAACATCCTTTCTACCTCTAGATATTATACAGGCAACCTATTTACTTTAGAAAAAGTGAATTCTAATATTAAATTCTCCAAACTCCAAAAGTACAATTCATGCGAAAACAAACAAATTATTTAACTACTTCTTCCTGAATAGTTGCAATTGTTTTAATTAGTGAAGCTTAATTAAATACTTAAATGTATGAAAAGAATTTTTCTGTGTAATTTTAATTACACAATAATTATTAACAATTAAAAAGTATTCTGACTTTTCAGGTACATAACAACTGCATGAAATCGCACTGCAAATGAATTCCACATTCGCACTTAATTGTTGCATATACGACCGCAAGTAGTATTATTAGTTACCACAAGTACGGCAAAAGGTCTAAGTATGAGGTACTAAATCTAATACAATTAAAATATTTGAGTTTGCAACATCGAATGCTCAAATGCCAGTGAATTTAATTATGAAATACGTGATTTCTAATGCAACAATTGCAACAATTCCTGTAATGAAGTGTAATACTCTGAACTGCATAAATATATTTATATAATAATTCCATATCAATATTAACAATCGCATCATCGAAAACATCCAGTCATGCACTTGCACTTGTAGTTGCATACACACAGCTACAGCAATACAAACTAACACTTGTATTTTTGTTAGTATATATCAGTGTCTGGAAAGTGATTTTACGGATAACCAGTAAAATCAAATCATAAAATTTTGGCAAATTAGTTCATTTCATCTGAAGTGGGAAAACTCTGTTGCAGAATACATTAAGCATAAAAGCGTTATTCATACTGATATATTTCATATCATATTTACCAATATAAGTATAAGCAGATAAACTCTTAGAACTTATGGACCAGAAGAACGAAGTATCGTAATTGGCTTTCGATAATATTCGTTTATACACATATATGACGTTGTGCTTACAAATAGAAATGGAAATGGAATTTTAACGAACAATTAGTAAACATTATTTGTGATGTGATGATGATATTAATTTTTAAAAACAAATTCACTGCATCCATAACCTAGATTATTGAATAAAACTCACAGACACAATAACCTATATTAGTAAATTTAGTTAGACAGAGATATTACCGAACTAAGACATTCAATTTTTAAACCCAATTTTTAGACCCAATAACCCAGATTAATGAAAAAAATTCACAGACCAAGTAAGCTAGATTAGGAAATAAAACTCACAGACCTCATAATCTAGATTAGTAAATTTAGTCCGACAGAGATTATAATTTTTTAAAACAAATTCACAGACCCAATAACCCAGATTAATGAATAAAATTCGCAAACCGCATAACCCAGATTAGGGAATTAAATTTACAGACCCCATAACCTAGATAAGTCAATTTATTCAGACAAAGAATTTACCAAACATAAGAATTCAATTTTGAATATCACCATAACCTAGATTAATGAGTTAGTCTCAGACAGAGATATTGTTGAATATTAAATATATATTTTAAAAACAAATTCACAAGTCCAATAACCCAGATTAGTGAATCAAATTCACAGACCCCATAACCCAGATTAGTAAATTTAGTTAGACAGAGGTATTACCGAACATTTCATTTTTGAAAAAAAATTCACAGACCTCATAACCTAGATTAGTGAGTTAGTCTCAGACAGAGATATTGTCAAATATTAGATATTTATTTTTAAAAACAAATTCACAAGCCCAATAAGCTTGATTAATGAATCAAATTCACAGACTCCATAACCTAGATTAGTGAAATTAGTTTCAGACAGAAACAGAGACATTAGTGAAACAAAGTCATAGGCCCAATAACCTCGAGTAATGAGTTTAATCAGATACATATATTATCCAGCATTATATTCATTTTTGAAAATAATTTTAGAGACCCCATAACTTAAATTAGTAAATTTAGTCAAAAAGTGATATTATCAAGCACTAGATATTCATTTTTAAAAACAAATTTACAGACCCAATAATCTAGATTAGTATATTTAGTCTCATACGGAAATATTGTCGAACATATATTAACTCTGGATCAATCACGCAGCGGTATCAGTGATGTAAATGAATTCTTTTTAAAACACTATGAACTTGTCCGACATAAAACATCCGCCGAGTTATGTTCTTTTTAGGGATAGTGTATACCCACAGAAACCTTATCTTGGATAAATTATTTTAAGGATATGTGTTTGCAGTCCCATCAAAATGAGTCTGATTCTGCGGCACCCATACTAAAATGTACAATATCCATTAATGGAAAACTTCACCTCAACAGTTGTGATTTGAACACTATACAAACACAAATCCCTTTGAAATAATTGCTATAGGGGCCGCTATAGTATAGTATAGTGTATATGACCGCTGTCTCGTATTAGAATGACACTCAAGTTTCAATCTCACTAAGCTCTGATTCAACATGTTTTTTTATGCTTAGTAAATCTGTCTTTTCAAATGGAGCTTCAAATAGTCCCTAATTTCGTAAGTACCTAAAAGTTTTACTTTACCTTGTATCGCCAAAAACTTTTATATATCTATGGTTGGATTACAGTCAACCAGAATAATCTAACATAATATCATATTTTAGGTTATGAAATTTTTTAACTAAAACACAGATGCAGATAAAACACAGACACAGATACTAATGGTTTTAAGACCAACTGTAGGTGTGTAGTGAAAAGTTTTGTAAATAGTAGCTTTAGATATAGATATATTTAAATAATAATACTCTCCGTAATTATATATATTTGCATACAATAAAAAGTTTTTGCTGTTGTCATTAATTAAAGAGATTAAGTTTTAATTTACATAATTAAAATCCGCATCCGTAATGATTTGTCCACTAATGGGTGGTTAATATGATTTTAAATAAATCTGCCAATATGAAAATAAAATATCAACAGTAAATCGAAAACTTCATGACAATTAATCTACCAATATATGTACTAACCCACACACAAGTGAATAATATTTATGGTAATAATCTTTATATATAAGTTACTTTAAACCAAACTCTTAAATATTTTATCTTCGCTCTTTATACAAATAATTAAATTTTTATATAAATCATCTGATGTTAAAGTTCTGAACACCAATCGTATTGAATCATTATAAAAACTAAGGAAAATGGAACAGTTCGATCGAAATGTGCACCTTGTATTCTGTTACCAGATTGAGCCACTCAGACATGATTTGTGCAACAGAAGGCGTCGTAAAGTAAAAAGACAAAACCACAATGAATAGAATACCCTGAATCCTCGTTAAATGAAGATCAATAGCATGCAATAGCAATGCTAATATGCCGTAAGAATATCTACCAGATACGTAGTCTAGTTGATAGCTATAACCTAACAAAAACTTCCAGAATAATTGTTTAGAGAAGAACCTCAATTTTCTATGAGAAAAACGCCCGCCCCCATATTGCTGTACCGGTTAACAACTGTTTCGTTAGCTATAAATAACCTTGTCTCTACCAATAATCACGTATTATACTTCTATCTAGAAATCGCTGTACTTTAATCAGAGTCATTAATGGCCTTCAATCAATTAATTCTCCAACCATTTTTAATATTTTTTTGCTCGACCAGGACTTAATTTTTGTGTACGTAGATGGAGAAAATAACTTAAATGCTTTAATTACCAATGACTTCTATACTTCAACATTAGCTAGAAAGCTCTTTTCTGGAGATATCAGCAATACAATCATTCAATAGGTTTTTCTTTTAATTGAAGTCGTATTTTGTTATGCTTACATTTATGATATAATAATAACCTAAGAAATTGTAAACTTTCTAGTAGGTCAATTATCTTTATATCAATTATTTTGTATATCATACACATGAGAACTCACTGATTCACACTTATTTCTTATTCGGTTTACAGTTTTGGGCTGCTTATGTGCCATGTGAAGCACAACACAGAGATGCAGTACAACTTACGTTGGAGCAAATAGATGTAATTAAACGTTTAACAGATCGTTATTCTCCACAATTGACAACATGCACATCCTCAGAAGGTAAGTACCACAATATAGATAACGCTATGCAGTACTTGGTACTAGAAAATCTGCTTTTTATGCTATAACCATGAACCTACTTTTTAATGTCTAAGTAAGTTACATGTCATATTGGGCAGATTATATTCTGTAATTACTCTTATTAGAGATAACATTCATATTAAAAAAAAAACTTCACAAAAATGCACGATGCACTGTTTGTCTGGAGATGATGAGCATCACATACTCATCCGATGGATAAACAAAAGTACATAAGTATGGGATATACTGACTGTACTTGGGATTTGAAAAATTAAAAGAAAAGCAAAGAATCGGTATAACACTGCATTGTTTTGCCGTGAAAAAAGATTGATTCGTAAACCACATTAACTATAAAATTTATGTAAATAAATGATGAAAATATAATTAGACCTTCCCTATTGTTTCTTCACAATACTAAGTATCGATTCTATAAGAGCTATAAACTGTACATTTCTAAGACTTGGGCAAAGAAGTAGAAAATACTCATGAAGTTACGCAGGTCGTAACAGAAGCATATCTTTGTTATAAAAATGGACTATTCAAATAAAGAAATTATATAATAATAGAATAATGAAACCTTGACTCTAGACAACATAGTTAAGAAAACTATAATTTCAATAAAATTACATGTATCACATGTATACGCATAACAATTTGTAGTGATTTAGTGTTCATTTAGTGCTTAACTGTATTAAGTTGTTTGCTGTCCATATATAAGAAGATGTGAGAAGGTTTCAATAAAGATATGAACTACAGTAACACATGTAACAGTATCACATGTATACGCATAACACTTTTAAGTGATACAAAACAGTTTTCAATTGACTTGATTTAGTGTTCATTTAGTGCTTAACTGTATTTAGTGCTTAACTTTTAAGTGATACAAAACAGTTTTCAATTGACTTGATTTAGTGTTCATTTAGTGCTTAACTGTATTAAGTTGTTTGCTGTCCATATATAAGAAGATGTGAGAAGGTTTCAATAAAGATATGAACTACAGTAACACATGTAACAGTATCACATGTATACGCATAACACTTTTAAGTGATACAAAACAGTTTTCAATTGAATTCATTTAGTGTTAATTTAGTGCTCTGCTATATTAATTTGTGTCGCTGTCTATTTGTTAGCAGACGTGAGAAGATTTCAACAAAGATATGAACAATAGTAACAACTTAAGATAGTTGAGAAGTTAATGCCCATTTACTTGCGATGTTTGCAGCGTGTATATTGCGAGTTAATGTTAACTGATAAAAAATTGTTACTGCTATACATGCGCTGGAAAACTTACAAGTTTCTTTAAAATCTTATTATATTCTAAGAGCAAATGAGAGCAATACCAGTATTCACAAACGTTTGTATATATATAATATATGTACATATAATTTTACTGTAAAGTAAACATTTGCCAATAAAATTCATTATTCAACATCAACTAAATTTTAAATACCCACATTCTCAGGACCCACAAATTAAATAGATTTTGTAAACGTTAAAAAAAATTAACTGTTATAACATATTTATACATAAAACTATCAGAATTCTAAAAGAGATATGGTACTTGTGTAAGTTGTAATTATTTTAACGTCAAAAACCAGATTTGAGTTTGTATATGATATTTTTATAAATGTTATCTTTTTGTAAGACAGTTTTTATATATTATACAAATATAAGGATCACCAACACAATGAGATGTATATTAAAGTATGTACTTACATAGTTACAACCTTTAATATTATTATAATTGAAATATATACAAAATATCACATACAAAAAAGAAAGTGTTTAAATACAGCAATGTAATGATTTGCTTAGAATATACTGAATGAAACAATAATTAAAAAATTTAGAAAGTTTAATTTCATTTAACAATTATATTTAATACTAACAACGAGTTTCAAAAATTGTGTCCGGACTTAAGAGACATTTAAATTTCTTTGTCAATAACCACAAAAAATCTGAAAATAAAGACATATTGTCCTTATCAACTCCATTAACATCTTCTTTTAAAATAATCGTCCTCTCCGTTCTCGCCATACGTGGGGCGCTTTAGATGCGCTCTAAATTAAATCCTTCCATACACAATGTGCACTTCTAACAAAAAAGTTAAAGTCAGGTAGCAGAACTCTACTACCTGGTAAGCCACCTGTATTATTTACAAACGCATATTCAGTGGACCCGTTTTATTGTTCGATTGAATAAACTACAGCATCCGTCATTATCTGATATCTGATACTTAAGTACATATAATTAACAACCATATACAATATTATGTAGAAAGACATAAATCATCTTACAGATATATATCTGTATGCACGGCGCATTCTTAAGTAAGAAATCGATCACATGTCTTGATCAGTGAATATAACAGTATAACAGTCATAAATCAGCTTATTCGGAAAATACACAGTACACACTTTTAAGTTGTACAAATATTAAATCAAAATATAGCAAATTGAAGTTTCTGAAGTACTCAGTTTCATTTATATGAATTCAATATATCGGTTAATCATTGATGGATAAACCCATAAATTTAAGGTAATCTGTAGTAGTAACAGATTTTAGTTGACTAACTTGCTAATGATCGCATATGTCCGCTTTTAACGCTTTTAACTCTATTAAATCCTGCCAAGAAATAGTTAACCATCTAAAATGATGATAGATGTTTGGGTTCATCTATAAAAAATATTTCCTGATGATAACTTCAGGATATATTGAAAATACAATATTAATGTAAAATAACTTAATTCTAAAAATAATTACTTTTATTAATTTTTATTTATAATAATAATAGTGAAAAATAATTAACTAATTATACTCATACATCACAATAATAAGAGACAATAGTTAACGTTTTAATATTACCACCTTGTTTGATCCAAATTTTTGTGCTAATAATATTATAGCGGTTTTTGTGGGCAGTATTAACTCCAATAATTCTGTTATGAAACTGAATAAAATATTTCAGAAGAATTTATCAGAAGAAGTTATTCTGAACCAAAAACTAGAAACGTATCTCTATAATATTGTATCTCTATATATATTGTGGGACGTCAGGACAGCGTACCGTCCAACAAGTGGCCCTACTGAAGTGAAGGATTAGCTAAAGTAGACCGCGAAACTGCTTGGATTTTTTTCCGTCCTTCGATTCACGGATGTCGTTATTGAATGAAAGCTGGAGTGGCTTCCGTTCGCATAACTATATCTCTTGTTAATGCAAGCAGCTCATTTAGCTTGAGGTTGCTTGCCAAGTCATCACCAACGCAATTTTGTCCCAAGACAGTGTTCGTTCTACTTGCAAGTGCTAGATATTGGCATTATATATGCACCGCTGTCTTCTTTTCTTCTAGACATAGTCTGCAAGTGTCTTCGTCAGCAAGAGTTATTTTTTTAAGGTGATACTTGAAGTTTCCATGTCTATTTCCATGTCTAACTAAATTTTCTAACGTCAACATTTTCTAAATCCAATTTGTTAAATACGATTGTTGAGATGTATAAATGTTGACACTACAACATCAACAAACTGTCACGTCAATTATTGAAAGATCTATTTTACCAATATGCATGTATATGCCAATAGATGGCGTAACAATAAAAAATATTCCCTTTTAAAAAAAATCCTGCTTACTTCACACTTCAACTCACATAAGTCAGTAACACAAATTTTCAGTTTTTATCTGTCGAGTATGGTCATTGGTGCATTAAAAGTTGCATTGAAAAGTTATGTTTCAAGAGCTATGTGTTTGAACATATGAAAAATAATATATATATAAAATTCTAACCAAATAGAAGGGAAAATTAAACCAACTAATATTTTATTATAAAAATATAACAATACAAAAGAAAGAAAGTTAAAATTTTGAAGTTGAAAACTTGTTACCTGCAAACGTGGTGCAGCTGCTTCCACATCAGTTGCATCCTGGCAGTCGGTATATTTGTACCTCGTCAAGAAAACATGCTCAACACACTTTTGCCTTGTGCCAATTTTATGTGTAAAATAATTCTTTGATTTTTCACTTCTCACCTAGTTTAGTAGTTTTAAGCTTTCAAAAAATTTCCTTCCTCTACTTTTTGCGTAGTTTCCTGCAAGTTTCTTGTTAAGTGACTTCAAGTAAGAATTGTAAACTTTTCGAAAGTGTATTTTACTTAACAAAATATTATATCTTACTCATGCATATTATTTTTTAAATTTCTATTCTGTTTTATTTTTTATTTATTTAATACTTCCACAATAACAATTTTGAAATGTTAAAATGAAATACTTCTGCTTTGAAACTAACTATGCTGTACGCTCGTACACTCCATTTTCCGGAACAAATTGTACACAGAAAGGTAGGTACGTAACTTTCTGAAGTGTTAAACATTAAACCTGAACAATGATGTAACTTGCCCTTAGGTAAATATTCTCCATTTCTTATATTATTCCATATATATATTTTTATATAATACAATTCCAACCATATCACATTAATATCAGACTAAAAAATTGATGATGTACAATGCATGTTAAGTCAGTAAAATCTTTGTTGTATTTGCTACTAATCCTTTATTCAAATATGACAGAAACTGGTACAGTAAATGTGATTGTTACTATTTTTGATAAAATTTTAATAAAATTACGGAAGTAAATAACTTATAGTAATAGCAACTGAACTATTTGCCTGCTTTTCTTTTATATTTATACATATATTGGCGCTAAGAACAAGTAATTGATCTACAGCCAGATAATCACACCGGCACTTTTCTACTGGTTGCTCAACATCAGATTCTTCAAAAAACCGTAGTAGTACATCTGCACGAATGACATACTAAAAGACCTCAGAATATACCGAATTAAAAAATATATAAAGGACAGAGCAATGAAGCTATACGCGAAAACTGACAGGCTGTACTACATAGCACTATCTAATCTTAGAGCAGTCACTAACCGTACGAAGTGGTATGCAAATCTTAAATCTATCATCGAATAATCAGCGAAG